GTGACACAGGGGGCAGGGGGCCTAAAACTCATTAAATTATAGGTGATATCATTTATGTATGACACTGTCATGAAAATCAAATGTCTTGTCTACACTATACTATCGAACCTTGTTTCAGCCTGGGTAGGGTGAGCCCAAGTAATATTTTCTGTAGTGCGAACACAAAGTTACCTAGCCAAGGTTGATCTGGGCTGACTCGGCCCGGCCTGACTCGGCCCAAGTACTGGTTTCTATAAAGAAATTAGTGGATATAACATGCACCTAGCAGCATACCCTTCCCTCTACAACGCGTATAAATGCTTGATGACACTTAGCTGCACCCAAGTTTCCTTTGAAAGATTATTCAGCGCTACTGATAATTTCAAAAGAAGAGAAAACTTTCCACTTGATTACGAGCAAGTCATTGGCTAATGTAATGATTCATTTGCACTTCTTCGAGAAGAGTTGGAACTCTGAGAATTTAAATAAGTTTTGATCTTGATTCTTAACTCTACATGGGATTTTAAAGCCTGTTTACACGAGATGAAAAGGTATGGATCCAATTGGGTCCGAATTTACGAATTAAAGTCGATACACTGCTGCTGTTGAGCGTATTGCTTTATTATCAATTTTTATTGAATCAATCGTATTCTAAGCCACATTTTTAGTGGGTGTGTCTCAATTTTCCCGCCACACCCTAAACAGGGCCCTTGAGTTTTCCAGCCACTCTGCGATTTTGACGCCAGACCGCCCCTGGAACAAACTAAGCATCGCTGAAAAACACCACGAACAAAGGAATGCTTAATGACTCTCTCAACATTCTTAAACGCCGCCAAATATCTCTGATCAGACTAAGCAAGGCTTAGCAAAGCTGAGGAAATGATAAACTGTACTTTTAACTGAAAAGGCATGCTGAGAGTTGCTCAGTGAAATGTTCAGTTCGTTTGACCGGGCCTTAAGATGACAAAAGGCTTTACGTATACATGCATTTGATGATTTTGACATAATGAATGTTAAAGTTTTAACAATTACAGTTACAAATTTACAAATCTGTAACAAAATCCCCCTTATCTGAATGCGGAAACTATGTTTCCAAACTCAACACGTTATCTGTAAGGAACTTGAAAAGACGGGTACAAATTAATTATGGTCAATGGGACATCAGAAGACCAAAAAATAGCTCAAATAGTTTTTTCCAGTAAAACTGACTGCTTTTTGCTTTTGACTGATGGGCAAACCATTTTGTACGCCTCCGGGTCTTATCCCGCATACGCAGTTGAAGAATAATTACCCGGGTCCAACCCCCTCGCAATTCGTCATTTCAAAACAAATGAGCCAACCGGGGCTGACTCAACCTTAGCTGACTTCAATCCTGGATGAGTTTATTCCAAGATGACTTCAATCCGGGATGATCTTAGCCCCGGAGGACTACATACCAGGATGACCTCAACCCAGGCTGATTCAACCGACGACGATTCAACATGGGATGGCTTCAACCCATGATGACTTCATTCCGGGACGACTTCAATCCGAGTTGACTTCAGCTCAGGATGGCTTCAACCCGGGCTGATTACAACTCGGAACAATTTAAACCCAGGTTGTATTGAGCCCAGATGGACTTCAACCTGGGTTGACTCAATTTCTTTGAAATAATGTATCGTAAATGTAAAAGGAGGTTGAACCCTGGAAACTTTTAAACTGAGCATGCGGAATAAGGCCGTGAATTGAACATCGTATGCTTTCTATTAGACTTAAAAATTACGGTAAACGTTTCCTGGACTTGAACATCCATTTTTCGATTTCTTCACATTCTAGTAGGCAATCTTTTAACACAGACAATGATTTTAAGGCAGCCGAACTCTGAAGGCACTCATTGATACCATGTTTAAAACTAGCTGAAGTTTTGAAAATGCAAAACATTCCATGTAAACGCAGGTTTCCATAACTTCTTTATCAATGTTTTTAGTTGAGGTCGTGAGATAGTTTGACCTGTTAAGCCGATTATCCTTGCTTAGCGGTTTTGGTCACATGTATCATTTATAATATTGCATGACACATCCATGTAGCAGATATATGGGCCTGTCTATTTAAAAGGGCTTACTGGACTTAAAGCTTCAAATGACTAGACCCGGATTACAAGTGCAATCAGTTAAGGTTACCGTAAACGTTTTCTCAATGAGAACATCCATTTTTCGATTTTTTTTCCATTTTAACAGTCGATTTTTCAAAACAAACAATGATACCAAATTCGAAACTAACAGAAATTTTGATAATGGAAAAAATTACATGTAAACGAAGGTTTCCATAATTTCTTTTTCAAAACTTTTAGTTGAGGCCTGAAAATCTCTTGACCTTTTAAATATCCCGATTTTCGTTACTTTGCGGTTGTGTTCGCAAATCTCATTTACACTCTCTTTTTTAGAAGAACACACTTTATAAGAACACTGATGCTCGATTTGCCCAAAAATAAGAGAACATGCTCAAGTTCAGATGAGAATTTTTAACGAAAATAATTCGCATTTTAAAATTTATGTTATGTCAGCAGAACCAAACTATGTAATTTATAAGCAATCATTGCTTTATTTTTAAACTTTATCCCGTAAACTTTTTAGAAGCTATAAACAAATGTAACTTCTCAAATATTTGCAAAAATCACTCTTGAAGTAAGAACAATTTTAAGAACATTTGAGCCTAAAATTATCAAAAAGTAAAGAACATCAAGGCTCGGCAAAAATTAATCTGGTTGGTTGAGCCACCAGCCCCGCATGCCCCTTCCCAAGCTGTTGAACGGTGACATTGCTTTCTAGGGGCCTAAATCCAAGCTCTTCCGTTGGCACGCCAAAGAATTGCAATCGTACTGTACACATCCATGTATCCAATGTACGGCCGTGTTTATTTAAAGAGGCTTATTGATCTTAAAGCTTCAAGTGACTTTGACCCGGCAGTGGGGGATCCAGCAAAAAACCTGACTGAGTTCCAGGCCAAGGCTAAGGACTTTCAGATAATGCATTGATAATTGTGCCTAAGCCAACATTATTATTCATATTTATGCATTTTGGTACCGTTGAGGGGTGGGGGGGGGGTGGTTAGTTACTATCCACTCATTAATTCCAGATCCTAGATTTCTTTCCGACAAAAAACAGTAGCTCTGTGAAAATTTTTGCAAACCCCTTCCTTTCTCAAAATCCAATATACCATAATGGCGCACTGATCAGTAGTGGTTCACAATTTTAATGTTGCTAAAACCAAATAGTATGTTATATGTACATCTTTTGAAAGACAATTTCATGCTGAATAACTTTCTTTTAACATACGTACCCATAGAATATGCAAATTTAGTGGTGATTCGGCAGAAAAATTCAAAGATAAATTTGTCGAAGTTATAAGGGACAGGGACAACAAACCTTCTTTCTAAACGTGAAAGGGACACGATGGTGAATCATCGACTTTATCGATCTAAGGTAAGAGTTTACTAAGATTAGATACAGGATTGAAACATCCAAGGAAAGTATGGCTTCATTCATTGACCTCATTCACTGAAAAGAAACCAACGTGAAACATAAACTTTTTAGAGTGCAAACGTAGAGTCTAATTAATGCAAAGGGCAGAGACAACAAACCTTCTTTCAAAAAGTAAAGGTAAGGGATTTATCGATCTAAGGTAAGAGATTACTTAGATTCATGTAACTCGAGGTAGAGTAAGTATGGATAGAGTTCAGGCTGCAGTGCAGGTGATTCAAAATTGATCTTAATCCCGTGCTTAGGAAAATGTCAATAATTGGTAAACGCAACAGCTATTCGATGTTCACAAATAATTTTCTCATTACCAGAGGGTAAGGGTAGCTAAATATCGTTCTGATTGATTTTACCCTTCGACCCATAAGTCTGGTCTATCTATTTGCCAAGACAAAGCTTTCAGTTGGTATATCTCCATTAGGTTAGCTATTTCAGCTACTGTACAGTGGATGAACCCGACCCAATTTTTGGCCATAACCATTTAAAGAATCATATAATAATTCTATCTACATTTACCTATATTTAAGTCAAAAGATCTGGGTTTGAATGCGTCCATTAGGTCAGCTACTCCAAAAGTTACACATTAAAATAACATGAACAATTAATCCTACAATACAGCACATTGTAGTTTCTCCTTTCTTCTTTCCTTTGACCTCTTTTATTTTAGTGTAGTGAGCAATCTCCAGTTCTCAATTAGTTCCTATTTATATTCTGTAGCAAAAGTTAAAATGTTGGATTTTGTCTTGGGAGACTTTAACACACTTTTACAAAAATTTATGTTTAGGCGAGGCTATATAGCCCTTCACTATACCCTCTCTTAGATAAGGAGGAGGGCTTCTTTCTCTTTAGAATGATTTCAACTCTTTGAACGATACTGGTTATGACGATCATAGCAAATACTACTTTATCCGGCATTCCAATTCTTTACTTGGATTGAATCAAAAGAAGTGACGTAGATTCACTATGGGACTGGAGTATGCAACCATTCCATTTTCCTTCCGGGTCGGGGTGTTCGTAGGGGGGGAGGGGGGAGGTGTAGATCATGACCAATGATTCACAGATATTATAATAAGAAAGACAAAATAGAAAGTCAATCAGATCGGCCTCGAAAAAATTTTGTTACAGTAGATTGAGGCGAGAGAATCTAAGAACTATATCGCAATTCAATGTAAAAGGGTTTAAGGAATTTTAATTCTGCCGAATAACTTGGGTTTTGTATTCAATGTATAGAGTTAAATGACGTTTCCACATATATTGTAATAAAGGCTTTAACCAAACGAATTCTAAGTTTGCTCTCTGAAAACAGGTTTTCTTTACAGCCGGCTGATCGACTGCGTATTTATCGAAGTTGCAGAAAAATTAAAATTATAACCCTATCAAAATTATTCAACAAAGCTTATTCGCTTGACGTTGAGAGGAACAGTCTTGAAGATGTCGTATTTTCTTTCTGATAAGGTAAGATAAAAGCAACACTTCGAAAGGAAATAAGAGAACATATTCGATTACCTCAATCAAACGCAATCAGCCTGCGTCCTCTACCTCTGCGTCCAGGCATCGAATGTCTTCTACTTGCCGAAGCTTTACGGTGCAATACAAAATCCAGTATCGAACAAAGTTGAGAAGTTTAGAGATTTAGTTGATTTATAGATCTAGCTGAAGTCACAATAGAGCACCATCAAGTAGGCCATCTTGGATAGTATAAACCTTCGAAAAAATTGCCGAATTCATTGCAGAATGCCAGAGCGAACGATATTATCCTCAAGTTGCCATTAGCATCATCAAAACTTTGTTATGCATCATACTTAATATCTGGTTTATAATTCAGAATATTGATTATAAAGCAAATGGATTGCTTATTTATATTCTACGAAAACCTGGGATACTCAAGGGAGATTCAATTTGAATGAACCACAGGTAGTCCAAAGGGGAAACCAACAATTAAAAATAAAAGCGGGAGAAGTGTCTCTTGGGAGTTCACGGGCAATTGCTCCTCCGCGACTCCGATAATAGCAAATTTGTGTTAAGAAAAATCAGCAAATCCTGTTTTTTCAAGGAGGGGGGAAGGGGGGTGCTGTGTCTGTTGTCAAGAGAATGTCAAAAATCCAATGATAAAGGAATAAATAGTAGGGTCAGTTTATCAAGCCTTCCATATTGGTATGGTAAAGATAAAAAAAAAGACAATTGGCTACCAATTTTATGCAATAAATTTACAGTATTTTTAAAATAGCGTCAAATGACCGTTTTAAGTAAAGAATTGCAAGCTAGAATTGCCTCGGTACGTCATTTAAACATTAGGAGACGTTTAAGGGTGTTCTTGATTTTGGTACCTTTGGGTCTTAAAATAAGACCATTAGCTACCAATTTTATGCAATAAATTTGAAGTCTTTTTCAAATAGCGTCAAATAACCGTTTAAGGTAATGGATTTCAAGCTAGAATTGCCTCGGTACGTCATTTAAACATTAGGAGACGTTTAAGGCTGTTCTTGATTTTGGTACCTTTGGGTCTTAAAATAAGACCATTAGCTACCAAATTTATGCAATAAATTTAAAGTCTTTTTCAAATAGCGTCAAATAACCGTTTAAGGTAATGAATTGCAAGCTAGAATTGCCTCGGTACGTCATTTAAACATTAGGAGACGTTTAAGGGTGTTCTTGATTTTGGTACCTTTGGGTCTTAAAATAAGACCGTTAGCTACCAATTTTATGCAATAAATTTAAAGTCTTTTTCAAATAGCGTCAAATAACCGTTTAAGGTAATGAATTGCACGCTCTAATTGCCTCGGTACGTCATTTTAACTTTTGGAGACGTTTAAGGGTGTTCTTGATTTTGGTACCTTTGGGTCTTAAAATAAGACCATTAGCTACAATTTTTATGCAATAAATTTAAAGTCTTTTTCAAAAAGCGTCAAATAACCGTTTAAGGTAATGAATTGCACGCTCTAATTGCCTCGGTACGTCATTTTAACTTTCGGAGACGTTTAAGGGTGTTCTTGATTTTGGTACCTTTGGGTCTTAAAATAAGACCCTTTCTACCAATTTTATGCAATAAATTTAAAGTCTTTTTCAAATAGCGTCAAAAGACCATTTTAGTTATGAATTGCACGCTAGAATTGCCTTGATAGGTCATTTTAACATTCGGAGACGTTTAAGGGTGTTCTTGATTTTGGTAACTTTGGGTCTTAAAATAAGACCCTTTGCTACCAATTTTATGCAATAAATTTAAAGTCTTTTTCAAATAGCGTCAAAAGACCATTTTAGGTTATGAATTGACGCTAGAATTGCCTTGATAGGTCATTTTAACATTCGGAGACGTTTAAGGGTGTTCTTGATTTTGGTACCTTTGGGTCTTAAAATAAGACCCTTTCTACCAATTTTATGCAATAAATTTAAAGTCTTTTTCAAATAGCGTCAAATGACCATTTTAGGTTATGAATTGAACGCTAGAATTGCCTTGATAGGTCATTTTAACATTCGGAGACGTTTAAGGGTGTTCTTGATTTTGGTACCTTTGGGTCTTAAAATAAGACCCTTTCTACCAATTTTATGCAATAAATTTAAAGTCTTTTTCAAATAGCGTCAAAAGACCATTTTAGGTAATGAATTGCACGCTAGAATTGCCTTGATAGGTCATTTTAACATTCGGAGACGGTTAAGGGTGTTTTTGATTTTGGTACCTTTGGGTCTTAAAATAAGACCCTTTCTACCAATTTTATGCAATAAATTTAAAGTCTTTTTCAAATAGCGTCAAATGACCATTTTAGGTTATGAATTGAACGCTAGAATTGCCTTGATAGGTCATTTTAACATTCGGAGACGTTTAAGGGTGTTCTTGATTTTGGTACCTTTGGGTCTTAAAATAAGACCCTTTCTACCAATTTTATGCAATAAATTTAAAGTCTTTTTCAAATAGCGTCAAATGACCATTTTAGGTTATGAATTGAACGCTAGAATTGCCTTGATAGGTCATTTTAACATTCGGAGACGTTTAAGGGTGTTCTTGATTTTGGTACATTTGGGTCTTAAAATAAGACCCTTTGCTACCAATTTTATGAAATAAATTTAAAGTCTTTTTCAAATAGCGTCAAAAGACCATTTTAGGTACTGAATTGCAGGCTAGAATTGCCTTGATAGGTCATTTTAACATTCGTAGACGTTTAAGGGTGTTTTTGATTTTGGTACCTTTGGGTCTTAAAATAAGACCCTTTCTACCAATTTTATGAAATAAATTTAAAGTCTTTTTCGAATAGCTTCAAATAACCATTTTAGGTTGTTAATTGCACATTAGAATTGCCTTGATAGGTCTTTTTAACATTCGGAGACGTTTAAGGGTGTTCTTGATTTTGGTACCTTTGGGTCTTAAAATAAGACCCTTTCCTACCAATTTTATGCAATAAATTTAAAGTCTTTTTCAAATAGCGTCAAAAGACCATTTTAGGTTATTAATTGCACGCTAGAATTGCCTCGGTAGGTCATTTTAACTTTCGTAGACGTTTAAGGGTGTTCTTGATTTTGGTATTTTTGGGTCTTAAAATAAGACCCTTTCTACCAATTTTATGAAATAAATTTAAAGTCTTTTTCAAATAGCGTCAAAGACCATTTTAGGTAATGAATTGCAGGCTAGAATTGCCTTGATAGGTCATTTTAACATTCGGAGACGTTTAAGGGGTTTTTGATTTTGGTACCTTTGGGTCTTAAAATAAGACCCTTTCTACCAATTTTATGCAATAAATTTAAAGTCTTTTTCAAATAGCGTCAAAAGACCATTTTAGGTTATGAATTGAACGCTAGAATTGCCTTGATAGGTCATTTTAACATTCGGAGACGTTTAAGGGTGTTTTTGATTTTGGTACCTTTGGGTCTTAAAATAAGACCCTTTCTACCAATTTTATGCAATAAATTTAAAGTCTTTTTCAAATAGCGTCAAAAGACCATTTTAGGTAATGAATTGCACGCTAGAATTGCCTCGGTACGTCATTTTAACTTTCGGAGACGTTTAAGGGTGTTCTTGATTTTGGTACCTTTGGGTCTTAAAAAGACCTTTGCTACCAATTTTATGCAATAAATTTAAAGTCTTTTTCAAATAGCGTCAAATGACCATTTTAGGTTATGAATTGAACGCTAGAATTGCCTTGATAGGTCATTTTAACATTTCGGAGACGTTTAAGGGTGTTCTTGATTTTGGTACCTTTGGGTCTTAAAATAAGACCCTTTCTACCAATTTTATGCAATAAATTTAAAGTCTTTTTCAAATAGCGTCAAATGACCATTTTAGGTTATGAATTGAACGCTAGAATTGCCTTGATAGGTCATTTTAACATTCGGAGACGTTTAAGGGTGTTCTTGATTTTGGTACCTTTGGGTCTTAAAATAAGACCCTTTCTACCAATTTTATGCAATAAATTTAAAGTCTTTTTCAAAAAGCGTCAAAAGACCATTTTAGGTTATGAATTGAACGCTAGAATTGCCTTGATAGGTCATTTTAACATTCGGAGACGTTTAAGGGTGTTCTTGATTTTGGTACCTTTGGGTCTTAAAATAAGACCCTTTCTACCAATTTTATGCAATAAATTTAAAGTCTTTTTCAAAAAGCGTCAAAGACCATTTTAGGTTATGAATTGCAGGTTAGAATTGCCTTAGTCATTTTAACTTTCGGAGACGTTTAAGGGTGTTCTTGATTTTGGTACCTTTGGGTCTTAAAATAAGACCCTTTCCTACCAATTTTATGCAATAAATTTAAAGTCTTTTTCAAATAGCGTCAAAAGACCATTTTAGGTTATGAATTGCACGCTAGAATTGCCTTGATAGGTCATTTTAACATTCGGAGACGTTTAAGGGTGTTCTTGATTTTGGTACCTTTGGGTCTTAAAATAAGACCCTTTCTACCAATTTTATGCAATAAATTTAAAGTCTTTTTCAAATAGCGTCAAATGACCATTTTAGGTATGAATTGCACGCTAGATTGCCTTGATAGGTCATTTTAACATTCGGAGACGTTTAAGGGTGTTCTTGATTTTGGTACCTTTGGGTCTTAAAATAAGACCCTTTCCTACCAATTTTATGCAATAAATTTAAAGTCTTTTTCAAATAGCGTCAAATGACCATTTTAGGTTATGAATTGAACGCTAGAATTGCCTTGATAGGTCATTTTAACATTCGGAGACGTTTAAGGGTGTTCTTGATTTTGGTACCTTTGGGTCTTAAAATAAGACCCTTTCTACCAATTTTATGCAATAAATTTAAAGTCTTTTTCAAAAAGCGTCAAAAGACCATTTTAGGTTATGAATTGCACGCTAGAATTGCCTTGATAGGTCATTTTAACATTCGGAGACGTTTAAGGGTGTTCTTGATTTTGGTACCTTTGGGTCTTAAAATAAGACCCTTTCCTACCAATTTTATGCAATAAATTTAAAGTCTTTTTCAAATAGCGTCAAAAGACCATTTTAGGTTATGAATTGCGCTAGAATTGCCTTGATAGGTCATTTTAACATTCGGAGACGTTTAAGGGTGTTCTTGATTTTGGTACCTTTGGGTCTTAAAATAAGACCCTTTCTACCAATTTTATGCAATAAATTTAAAGTCTTTTTCAAATAGCGTCAAATGACCATTTTAGGTTATGAATTGAACGCTAGAATTGCCTTGATAGGTCATTTTAACATTCGGAGACGTTTAAGGGTGTTCTTGATTTTGGTACCTTTGGGTCTTAAAATAAGACCCTTTGCTACCAATTTTATGCAATAAATTTAAAGTCTTTTTCAAATAGCGTCAAATGACCATTTTAGGTTATGAATTGAACGCTAGAATTGCCTTGATAGGTCATTTTAACATTCGGAGACGTTTAAGGGTGTTCTTGATTTTGGTACCTTTGGGTCTTAAAATAAGACCCTTTCTACCAAT